AAACTCTGCATGGCCATGACTACATTCGATAGATAATGGAATTCCAAATAGAACCTTACATGATGTTTGAAGTCAAAATTAAAAACTATTTTTACTGAATCTTGAAGGTCCTTCAGTTTCCAATTTCATCCACGTACCGCAAAAGGCTCCGGAACCAGAGACCTCGTGAAGCCATTCATGACTCGTCGTTCCAGATATTCTGGAAATTTCACCTGGAGTTATTTATTGTATCTAGGAATGCATTGCATTCGGTTAGGGGTGACTTCAATATTGTTAGACACGCACTAGCCGGAGGCCATCACTTTACTTGGCTCACTTCACAGTCGGGTCACAAGGTTCAGATGTAGTACAGATATTCTTGAAAAATTGTTCTGAAAGCTAAAGAATTTTTTTTTAAATGGAAGGAATCTTTTCCGGAATTAGACTAATATGATTACTCGGCAAACTTTCCTTCATTTATTGTTCTTTCTATCGCTATATGACGTTCGTAAAATCTCATATCCATGAGAATGGAAATTTATTCGAGAAAAAATGAATAAAAAACTTACCTCTTTGAAACGAAGACAGTTGTAAGACTTTCAATTCTAACTGCATAATCACTGAAATTTTGAGAGTGTAACATTTTTCATAGCTTACAAAGAACTAGAAAAGGCCTGATAAAGGCCTGGTTGATTCTGTATATCTTAGGCTGAAGCAGCTTAGGCTGAAGGCCACCAACTGAAGCAGTCATCAAAGTTGTGCCAGAACTGCTTGTAAAGCTGTAGCAGAACTGCCAGAAAAGCTGTGGCAGAACTTCCTGTGAAGCTATGCCAGAACTGCCTGTGAAGCTATGCCAGAACTGCCTGCGAAGCTATGCCAAAACTGCCTGCGAAGCTATGCCAGAACTGCTTGTGAAGCTGTGCCAGAACTGCCTCCGAAGCTATGCCAGAACTGCCTGCGAAGCTGTGCCAGAACTTGCAATGCTGTCGAAGTTCTGAATGCTGGTGAAGCCACACAGCCTCTCAGGATAATTCGAAGCTTCATCAGTTAATCGTACCTCAACATTTACTATGGGACGATTTCCATCAGCTTCTAGCCACCGAAAATTAAGTCTAGGCAGGGAATTTGATGAAATGAACCTCACAAATTATTCATGAATGATTGCGTACATAATTTGATGAAAATCTAAAATTCCATCTTGATCATTTGTCATGAAAGTTGAGATGATGAATGGGAGATTATATCGATCGAATTGACTGCTATAATAAATGGCATATCTATTAACCTGTGTGAACTTAGCATGATTTATTTTATATACATAAAAGCATTTCATATAGCAAACTATATAACATTTCTGCAAGTAAATATATTCGTAGATAATTCATACATATTCTTGTACGCGGATATTTAGATTTTATCATACTTCATTCAAATTTTGAAATCCGTTTTCCTCGTATCGAAAGACGGATGCTTTTTGAGAGAATTGTGAAACATTTTTTACACTTCAAAAATTTTCCAAGAAAGTTATTTTAAACATGAATTTTTCACTGTTCCTATTTGGAGATTTATTTTTTTTGCCTGCCAACTACCAAAGAGAACTTCCCAATAAAGATTTTCGACGATATTACAATCCTTAGTGAAATGGCAGTATGAATTTTATGCGCTAAAGCAACGTTATATGAAGAAATAATTACCGCGTATTTAACGAGAATTACGCGTCAGGCAGACGTTTTTCCCAGAGTTCCTCTTTTAATGTCTTGGTTGCGCTTTATTGTCATGTCTGAACTTGGCATCAAACGGCTAATATTGCTTCAGTTGTGAAGAAACGATTTAGCATTGAATGGCAAAGTGTCCTTCATTCTTCATGATGTATTGCATGGTCATGGCTTTTTAAAATTACTCCAATCATCCAATTAAGTAAGTAGAAGTAAATGTATTCTTACATCTTTTTACGTCTAAGTCAATCGCTTTACTAATCACTTTTAGTGAGTAATCAGTGGAGTGCGCGTTTTCAGCGTTGAAATTTGTGTGGAATATTCGGCTTTGCATTGCTGGGCTCTCTGATCGGTTCTGTTTTGTGGAGAAGTTTGTACTTTGGTGAAAACTCTTGGCTGAAGTTTTAATGGAAGTGGGATAGAGTAGGAGGACGTTAGCTTAGTTTTTTATGGAAGTTAAGTCGAAGGTCCTAACAGTTTATGGATTAATTAAGGAAGTCGGACCTCCGCAATCAGCGGGTTTTGCATTTCTGCGGATGGTGGTCGCGAATCTGCGTGAAACTTGATTGCTTCCCAGTCCTCAGAAATAAAATGTTGGAGAACTTGTGACTCTCATTTTAGATGCACGGGTTTATTCCGAATTTGCGGAATTTGTGCACAAAGCCACTGTTGATTGTTGAGTATTTCTCTAGGGGAAAAAATTTCTTCTGATTTGGATTGACCAATTACAAACAAACATCAAAGGAAATTTCCAGTACTTCTTTTCAATTTCAACTTCCTCACAAAACCGTCATGATGAATCGTCTTTGAATCGAAATTGTTTACACTGAATGACTTAAGATTTATTGCTTGCTTCTCAAGTTTTTGTGGCGTTCAAACCAATAATGGTTGAGTCAGCGAAAGAGTTGGCGGTTCACTGTAGAGTTGTTCTGCAAGACTATCAGACCCTGGAAAATTTCATTTATTTTTGTTCCAATGGAACTTGCTCAAAACAGCCATTCAACTTCATTGCAATATCAGTAAGGATCATTTCTTCCAAGGTTTGATTCATGGAACTCATTATTTTGGCCTTGAGTTATGGGAGCCTTCGAGACCAAGTCGACAAGACTCCAATTTAGCGAATGTATCGCTTTGCAGAATGTCGCTAGCAGGTTTGTCACGTGGAGTTTTCGTGCGTTTTAAATGAAATTCCACGTATTCTGGACGCATTTAGCTAACAATGTTAATTAAATTCTGCGATGTCATGGGCAGATATGAATTAATGAATTTTTGTCAGTTATAACAAAAGGGTTATTACAAATTTCTGAATATTTAAAAAAATCTGCGATTCCATTGGTCTATTTTTCTCAAAGAGTTTTTGTCTGTTTTAAAAAAGTTTCCACGTGTATATGACGAACTAATGGTTGAAAGTATCAAATAAAATCTGCAATTTCCGAACAAACAATTATTGAAGGAATCAAAATTTTCAGGAATTGTGTACGAAAACTCGATTCATGCGAAAAATATCGTGTTTGAGAGAATATGTCTCAGTTCTAATGTCATTGACGACATAAGTTTTTAGTTATGAAATTCAAATAATGAGGTTGCGTTTAGGCAATTTTGTGATGACTGTTAGAAGTTTTTCGTTATTAATAGACTAACTCGTTATTAATAGAAGTTTTTCAAGAAAGCATTCAGCTGATACATGTGCCTTTATATTTTTGATGAAGAAATCAATCGATTCCATTACAAAAATTTATTCAATATACGGTTTATATTATAGCGTTTATTTATCAAATACTTTTGCATTTTTAAGTGAACGCTTGAGTAATGCTACTTGAAAATAAAAAACTAAAAATTGTAGTTGTTCTTTTATAAAGCATCCTCCCGGCCTGAATTTTTGAAGAAAATTCACCAATGAAGGAAATAATATCTTTGGCGCCTTCATCGCTTCATCTAAATCTTTAAATAGATATTATTTATTATTATACGTTTTCTAACTTCATCTCTAGCATTCTTTCATAAGAAAATTCCCAATTTCTTAGTAATAGCTACATAGAATTCGTTACTAAGGTCATCATATGAAATTATTAGTCTTTTTCCTTCGGTAAAATAAAATTGTTTTGTGTTTAACCGTGAAATTTGTTTACAAACTTGACTCGTATGTTAAAAACTTGACCCGCGTTACAAACTTGATTCGTATGTTAACAAAATATTAAAGGCTAAAAATCTTAGTGATTAAAAGAAAACACAGCCGTTTTCTTCTGAATAAATATACCTTATCGTTATTGAATAATGCTATCCTGACAATCTATAAGATTTATAGCATATTTTCATGTTCAAATTTGAAACCAAATATCGGAAAACTGTATGAGAAATTTCAAAGATCTGACTATTTCACTGATGGAAACCATTTGAAATTATTGGAACTCTGAGAAGAAAACTCGAGAATGGGATACCCTATATGTCGTTTTGTGTATAAGTATTTAGTAATGGATGCAACGCTTCCGTTTCGTTCGTTGTAAACGACGCGCGAAACGTAATAATTTTCATGAAGCTTCGTAGCTTTCATTATTGGAGTCAAAGTACACCCATGTTTGATGGTTGATCTCGTTACGTAGAAACGAAATATTATTCTTGTCAATATTAACTTTCAAATAACCGATTGAGATGATTTCAGGGGCGACTGAAAGTTTCTTGAGGCACTTTAATAATTTCACGAGGGAATTGGCATGCCTCTATCAATGCAGCAAATCAGATTTAAAGTAGGAAAATGAAAGAGCAGCTAAGTGTCGTATTGTCTTATTGAGTATCATTGACAAACAAACTAATTCTTATAATTGCAAGAAACATGGAAGAGATGATACACTTTGATTGTTGGTTACCTTGTATTTGTACACATCAATTTTCTACACTATCAGACACACAAAACTCGTTCCTAAACACTTTAAACGTACGTACAAGTATCTTCATAATCCGTTCGCTTATCTCTGTCATCCTTCTACTATCTTTAGCATGCATCCGTTACGTTTTTCTGGTGAAGCATGTACATCATATAAATCATTACAAAGACTGAAGTCCTGTGATTTTATTCTTACATGCGCACTTGCTGCTAAAATTTCCCTTCTTAGAAGGTAAATAAATTTGTAATAGTAGAAAAAGTACTCTCAGAATTTCTTACATTTCATTTTTAAATTTTGGTTTATATAAATTTCGTAACCTAAAAATAATTATGATTGGAGTTGTGAGCGAAGAACGAGCCAATTGCGGATGATTACGTCCCAAACTTTTTTGAAATTATGAATTTTATTTTCCCAATCGGCCAAGTTACAGCATTTTCAGGTAATTATTGTATTATTTGTTTGCTTTCACAGGATGTATATATAGTGGGACACATGGTTCTTTATTTCCATCTACCGATTCGAGATAATGTTTAATAAAATAACATGGAGATCGTCAATTATGATCCGAATGGGATCATAATTGACGACGAAAATCAAGCAAGATGAAAATTATTTTCATCTTGCTGATTGTGATTGAGACTAGTTGTAAGAGACTGGAAACCTAGACCTCCATAACTCATTTCGATACAATTTCTTATTTACACCAAAAAAGTGCCAGGCACACATTTTCTTCCAAACTATCGTGTGAACTCTTTTCTCTTCAAAATTAATAATGAGAAGTTATGCAAGTTTTTGCACACAAAATAATAAGTCCTGCTGCAGATGTAACGGTTAATAAGGGACATAGGGACAAACATATAATATAATATATCCGTGGAAGCCAGACATGGGCGTTCGAATATTCTCGGTCAGACTCAACGATTAGATGAGCTTCCATTCAAACTTTGTGCTCCTGATTCGATGAAGCCGCTGGAGTCGTAGGAGGGGGGAATGTGGGACTGCGAACATAAGTAGAAAGCGTGTGGATGGAACAAGTGGTTGGGGGAGGACCATGGGGTCCTCCTCCACAAGGGTTTTCTGACCCCGAGAACCCTCTGTTGGGCCCACTGATGAACGAATAACGACAACACAGGAGGTTGATGAAAGCTGATCGGAAAGTTCTGTTAAAGACGGTATAAATCACAGGGTTGATAGTAGATGAGACATAGCCTAGCCAGAGTACCATGTTCGAGAGCTGCGGGTGAACAGAACAGCCTGGACAAGCAGCCATGAACACCGTCAACAGGAAGAATGGAGTCCAGCATATCAAGAACGCGAAGAAAACTAATCCCAAAACTTTAGAAGCTTTTTGTTCGGTGGCGACAGCATTGGCTGCCAGAGCGTCACGTTTTTTAGTGGCTAGGAACCGGAGATGCCACGCTGCTGATCCGACCAACTGGAGGCGCAAAGCCTTCATTCTGAAGTTGCGCGTATCCTGCTCGATGGACTCCGGCGTAGAGGGCCCTTGAGACTCCTGCGTTGGATCCTCCACGCTGAATAAACTTGAGCCGTTGGCATAACTTCTGCTGAGACCAAGACGCTCGTCGTAAGGGTAAGGTCGAGGGTCAGCCCTCTTATTCACTTGGGCTTTCCTCTTAACTGAACGATATCTTCCCATCGTTCGAGCTTTGCCCGTTGAAACATCGGCGGCAAACTTGGCTTTTTTCCTCAAGAGGTGCACTGTGAGCGCGTAGCTAATCACCATGATTACCATAGGCACGAAAAATGCGCACACAGAACCAACGAAGAAGAAAGCCCTGTTGTTGATAGCGCAGATGTCGTGCGAAGGCATTATGTTCAGTGGATCAACGATGCCCAGAACTGTGATGAGGGACGTGACGAACATCGCCGAGCACCACACCAGCACCACCTTCAAGCCAACCATCTGCGAGATTGTAGAAAAATTGTGTAAGTGACAAAAATCTTGAGTTGTGTTCCTTATAATGAATTTTGTATAGGTTAAGAAAAAAACAATGATTTGTAAGAAATTTTTATGTCGATTTTTTTTTATTTTTGCATCTTTTTTTTTATTTGTAAATTTTTTCATGAGCACCCTTCATATTCCACTGAATAAAAAAATCACACAGGGTACACTGCTCAATAATACAAGTTCAATACTGTACTGATGGGATGAAATTTTCATGCAAGCGATTTCTTGCACAATTCCCAACCATTTCTTTCTATAATGATGAGCATTGATTGATTACGAGAACAATAATGATGAGTATTGGTAGATTACGAGAACAATAATGATGAGTATTGATTTATTACGAGAACAATAATGATGAGTATTGGTAAATTACTAGAACAATAATGATGAGTATTGATTGATTACGAGAACAATAATGATGAGTATTGATTAATTACGAGAACAATAATGATGAGTATTGNGCCTGTGTTTGGGTGAGCTCGCCTGCTCGCCTGTGTTTGGGTGAGCTCGCCTGCTCGCCTGTGTTTGGGTGAGCTCGCCTGCTCGCCTGTGTTTGGGTGAGCTCGCCTGCTCGCCTGTGTTTGGGTGAGCTCGCCTGCTCGCCTGTGTTTGGGTGAACTCGCCTGCTCGCCTGTGTTTGGGTGACCTCGCCTGCTCGCCTGTTTATGTCCGCGGAACCATCCAACTAATGCGCTATCTGCCGCCGACCAAGCGTCTTTAAAATTGATGTACATTCTTGACGGATGATAACGGCAAAAAAAATATTATTATGATTTTGGCATTGGAGGCCCTTATGTTGATTTGAAGTGTCGTCGAATGAATTAAATCTAAAAGTTTAAATTTTAAATTAAGAGTAGGTGCTTGTCAAACTCAATTTGGACACTTAACTTTTTTTATTAAGACGACACTTAGCTGAACAAAGTCAATTCAATTCAAAGCAGGCACTTTGATTCAACTGGATTTTGCGTGATGAAAAAAAAACAGAAAAATACAAAAATTGGCTTCGAAATTTTTAAATAAAAATATATATCAGGGATATTTCCAAAGTAAGGAAGTTTTTCCCGCTGTATCGTGTGGAATAATATTTATGCCATCTATAGTTCTGGTATAGATGGCTTTTTTACTATCACTCTTCAATCTTTTTACTATAAGAGTAAATATACGTGTACTCTTCACTATTCTTTTTACGATTAATCTTCAATCTCAAAGTATTTAAATATCTTCTTTTCAATATAGAATATTCCATATGCTGATCGGAGCGCAATAAATGTTACTCAGCTCCAGCAAAGAATATTCACTTAAATTCAAGACTCTCTCAGCGGAACATTCCTCAAGTAAAGGGTGGACGGTGAACTTGACATGGCGTCTGTCGGGAACTTTTGCAATCTACAGTGGCTCTACGGAGCACAAAAGATGCCAGACTTTGCTAGAGAATTTGTGCCAGGAAAGAACATAGAATCAGACTCCAAAGCTGATAGCACAATTGGATTCCGTCGCAGGTGTGAAACTGCTACATGTTTTGAGACTGCTGCTCCAAGTAGAAACTTTAGGTTGTAGGTGGGAGAATTCTTTTCTGTTGGGCATTAGAAATTTCAGCGTCCTATTTTCTGGGCGGGTGATTTTGATGAGGCCGACTCAAGTTTGTTGTCAGACTCACTTTTTGTGTGTATGAAGATGGTTCTAAATTTTCATTCATGGTGTATAACTAGTGAGAATCCCGTCTGCATGGTTTTTCTTGTTTATAATATACGCTTTTTGGTAAATACTTTTAATTGATGTGTTGTATAGGTAGAAGAACACAATTACAAATCATTATTTTCTGGAAGTTTCTGAGTCATCGTCATTTCCAAAAATTTGGAAATGCTATAGGGCTGTGTTCTCAAAAATATTTTCCAGCTCCACGAATAATTTAAGGAAATATATATGGAAGGAAATATAGGTTAATTAATTCCTCACCTTCTTACTGTTATGTCGAGTTTTCAGAGGGTTTCTGATACCCATGTAGCGCCCTAAGGAAATGGTGCACATGTGCATGATGCTTGATGTGCACGCCAGCACATCGCAACTGATGTAGATGTTGCACCACAGCAGTCCAAACGGCCAGTAGCCTGTAACATTAACAGTTCAGTTCATCACTTTCTCTTGAATAAAAAATCAAAAATTGCTGTTCTCATGCCCTCTATATTCGTGCAATGGTGGAAAATTGCAGAGACCTCTATCTTCAGGCTTTTATCGCATTTGAGGCTTAAAATTTTTAAATTTTTATCCTAAGATGATTTAGAATTTCCCTGCAGTCTGCATCAACAACGTTTTCATCAAAATTTGAAGCACATTTACGGCGACTTTAATTTCTGGACTCACCAAAAAATCCAGCAATGGCTCCGAATGGCATGACCACGAGCGAGACCAAGAGATCGGCCACAGCCAGGGACATCAGGAAATAGTTGGTGACGTTGTGCAGTGTCTTCTCCAGGCAGATCTGGAGCATGAAACATGAAATGGAAAGTAAACATTTTGAGCATGCAAATTCTTTGTTATTTATGGGATACTAGAGATAATAGCATTATCTATTAGTTTTTAATATCATCATAGTAATAATAATAATTATCTGTTAATTTTTGTGAGAAAACAATTGAACATTAAATTATCATGAAAGTGATCAATCAACAAATTTGAATGCGAATTGTGGCGGAAATCTATTCATATAATCTAAATGAGAAATTAAAGTTGAAGATAAGTTCTCCTTAAGACACCATTTAAGAAAGGTATACGAGTCTAAAAGAAAATAAAACCGCTTTAAAAGAAATATGAACATAGAAAATTTAATAATCAAATAAAATCCGAAGAGAAAGATATTTGATCAGAAAGACTAAATTCTTGTGATCCAATTTATTTATATACAATAAAATTGAAAGAGTAAAGTAATTATTCTGCTACAAAAACACCGTCGAGACGCCGGGATATTTTGTTCAATTAATTTGAATTACGACCATTGAAAATTTTTCGTTCACTCTTTGAGTTTAATACATGAATATCATGGTTCAAAAACCAAAATAGCATGCTATCAAAATGCTACTTTCTTTGAGCGCACATCATTCACTGCAAAATTGAATATAAATTGAAAAAATGTTACAAAAAATACGCTGAGCCTCATCGGTGACAATCCGCAAACATTGCGGCAACAATTTTGGAACTCGCAGCGTTCCAGTTTTAAATGCTGTCGCGCTACTCCTAAAACGACTCAAAATGAAAATGTAAATATGTATCTTTGTTCTGAAGTGACCGCGAACTAATCATTTGCCCACACAATCCTTACGATCTTCGCTTCGACTTTCTGTCTATTGAATCTGCCGGAAAAATCTTTGATTTTTCCTAATCTTGGAGCATCTAGACCTTGAACCTCTGTAATTTTTCATACGAAATATACCCGAAATTTCCCCAGGTCTGAAACCCTCAAGCAAATATTTATAGCTTATTCATCCCTGTACAGCGATGTAATTTCCCTTCTCCTGCAGACCTTAAAATCGTCCGTATAAACTTTTTCATTGCCATTTATGTTTTAATTGAGACAATTTGTACTGCGTGTTAAAAATTTTAACATATTAAATTAATCGGGGACAATTCAACTTTGTAGTGAGTGAAGTCAAATTTTGCAGCAGTAAAACAAGAAGGTAAATTGTTTGAATTTTTCTGTCTAATTTCATAGAAATATTATCAATCCTGGTCACTTCAAATTGTTTTAAAAGTTTAGCACGAGATTTAGGAAAAATTACAGCTCCGCATTTTTTAACAATTCAATACTAATAATAATTTAATAATAACTATTACCTTTGCCCTGAATATCCAAATATACTGCTATACTACTGCCTAAATTAAATATTGTACATAATATGTATTTCGATAGATGAAAATACCTCCGTTTCAAAATTGGTCGAGATAAATTAAATCGATATCCCTTTCGTTTTCTCAATATTCTAGTTTAACATCTTTCTTTCATAAAATTAATTTCAATTAATCTCCAATTAAAATCCTGTTGTAGATCCGATTTCCATCGTTAAAGTTTCGACGGCCAAAAAACGTTTTACTTTCAGGTATGAATTCCAGTAACGCAGCTAATTGAACGCGCCTCGTCAGTCGGTAAAAACGTTCGCTTCAGGAACAGCTTCTCTCATCACGGCTCCGTAATTCCAGCTGCAAGCAATTAGCGGCCTCCAACACACGAATAAAATTTCTCTACGTTCCTAAATTAGGCCCAAATAAGCCAACGTCAATTTGCTATTAACATTTTTGCATTGCAACAATGTAGACATAAGCCTGCATTCATTGCAACAATGTAGACATAAGCCTGCATGCATTGCAATAATGTAGACATAAACCTTATTGCTTTGCAATAATGTATACATAAACATGTATAATGTGTACAGAATGAGCGGTTAGCAGACTACGCATGGCATAAAATTAAATTTTTACACGTTTCTGTATTCGACCCGTACAAACCCGCGTCAATTTCCAATTAACCTTTATGCAATGAAATAATGTAGACTGGAATTTGCGAAAGGAATTGGTGTCGTTTTAATGAGAATTTCTTCGCAGTTAGCCGCCTCCGACAAGCCATAGAATTCGCTGAGTTCCGGAATTAGAGAAATACAAACCTTGTCAATTTTCGATCAACCTTCTTGCATTGAGATTATGAAGACTTGGATTTGCGTTTAAAATTAACATAGTTTTAATAATAAAAATTTTCCGCAATTAGCAGCCTTAAGTTCACCATAAAATTTCTCTACGTTTCGGAATTCGACCAAAACAAACCTTAGTCAATCTCATACAACCTTCGTGCATTGAAATAATGTAGACTTGAATTCGCGGGGAAAATCAGCTTGGTTTTAACTTGAATTCCACATAGTTTCACTAATTTAGAGATAAAATCTGTTAATCTGTTTAATGATCCAATATTTATCTTGCAGGTAATTTATATTTCATGTTTACTCATATTCTGAAAAGGAGCGAAATTTATGGTGATGAAAAGTATTCAACATGCATTTCATAAACACAAAGGGACCTGAGTGGAGACCTCTCAACTAAATATTGTTACATATCTCAAATAAATCTTTCAGTTTGCACATTCAAGCAACGGTAAATATTTTCGATAAAGTAATTTATGTTTAAATACCTAGTTATCGTGACGCTCGGTCACTTTCAAATTTCAATCCACACTGAATTTTTTACTATAAATTTAACCACCATTTATTTTATTTCCATAACTAAAATTACTATATTAATATCGAGCATTTATATTTTAGAATATGATAAATTAATCACACTGATTAACCTATCACCAAAAAAACTCTTCAGAAGGAAAGCACTTTCTCAAAGCCGCCGATTATTTACTAAATCTTAACTTTAAACAGAACTTTTCTTATAAAAATTATTTGGCTACACATAATAATAATATAATAATAGTGGGTTCAACGTTTATTAGGCCGTAGGCCTGTCGCCGATTCTTGACATCGTAGAAAATTCACAGCTTGTTATGGTCCCGAACTCGTAACTCACTGCTCCAATTTTGCTTTTGCTTGAACCGCCCGGCCTCTTCCCCAATTTTGACCAGAAACTTTCACACAGAGCTGGGATCGAACCCGCACATCGCTGCTCTACACCCAGTACTCTGAACAAAAACCACTTGGCTACCCTTATATCACCCTTATAACCCTAATATAACATCATGGCCCACGCCATTTTTCTCAATTCAACGGATTTATTAGCAGTCAAGATTGGATACCTCGCAATGATCATCATAGCCCAGCCTCAAGGATAACAAAATCTTTTGAGGAATCATGAAAATTTTTCGGACGTTCAGGAGACAAATATAAAAGGCTGAATCCGAAAATTGTTCATTTAATACAGAATTTTATAGAACTTTTTCGCCGCCAATTATAATTTATAGATTTCAATAAAGCATAATTTCGTTTAGATTGCGTAAGATGTCCGAATACTTCGTGTTACATTGGATAACTAATGCATTTGTTTTTCAGCGTTTAATAAATGTATACTGCTATAGTAAATCTTTCCATTATTGTTTGAGTTACAGGCATTCATTCAAAAGACTGATGTTTTAAGTACTCCCAGGAGTCGAAATTTTTGCTCTAAGTTTTCAAGAGAATTCTAATGTCCTAAAAAGAACGCGCGGAAACCTATTGGTCGCTTGTAATTTTCAAAGGCAGCGCAGAATTTAAGCAGGAAACTCGGCGCTAATCGCCTGAGCGGAGAAGCTGCGTGGGCGTCATTTGTCAAGCCGGCGGCCGACGCTTGGTACAGTCGCGGCAAAAACTGCAGCGCCCCTCAGTAAATTGCCTCGATTTTTTCTTGCCTCGAAACAATGAACAAAAAGAAGAAAAGACGAGCGCTAGAATAATGAAGCCTCTTGCGACAAAGTGGCTTGCTTTGCGTGGCTGTGAATCACTGCTTCACTGCACTGCACTGAGGTACTTCACTACGGCTTCTCATGTCGATGCGGCTATACTCACTACCATTGCACTGCGCTTCACTGCTTCAAAATTCCCTGCGAATTTCTTCCATAAGATCACTTCACAAATTGCGAACTTCAGTAACGATTCTTCAGCGTCAAAATCTTGAGGTTATTTTAATCAAAAGTTATTTGACGAGAGCACTGCAGTTAATGCTTTTTGCGTGATTTGAAGAATTGAATCCACTTAGCAGACTTTGGTTCTGCTGAAATGAACTAGACGGCAAGAAAGCTTTCCATTTAGTTGTAGTTTAGGCTGTGAATGAACTTTGCGAGGTCGGAAATGTCCAAAAAATTCTAAGAAATGCAATTGATTTACAAGAGGAATTAGACTTCTTTTCATAGTAAAACTTTTGAGATTAATTGAATGAATAATAGCGTAATTTTCAGTATAGATTTCATGCAAAGAATTTGAAGGCTATCTATTGAAATTTGCATTATGAACTACGAGTATGTGCATATACATTTTGCATGGGCACATGGATAACATACGAAGGCGTGTATACTATTAGCAGATAAGTGTAACATAAATTTAATTGTATAAAATAAGTAGACGTATGTGAAAAGTTAAGTGTAGATATATAAGCACGTAATGATTGCACATGAAAATGTTCACTAGATAAAGCTTGAACAAGCATTGCTGGAAAAATGATCGGTGTGTTACGTGAAAAATAATAGTTTTCTTTAATGAATGTGTCAAAAATTATTAATGATATTTTTTTATTTTTAGCATAGATTTACTTATTATTTCTTACTGAGTAAAAATTAATAACTTTCTGTGTTGTACGACCAAAAAGGGCTAATTAAAATTTAGAATGCCATTGTAAATACTTCATTCCTTAAAATTGTGATAAAGGTAGTATTTTAACCGACTGAAAACCTGATTCAAGATTTCAAACCACCAAAACTTGATCGATTACTTAATAAATAGATTATTTCATTTTCTACTAAACGATTTACAGCAATAAACTTTACTTTATTTTCTACTACACGATTTATAGCAATAAACTTTACTTTATTTTCTACTACACGATTTATAGCAATAAACTTTACTTCATTTTCTACGACACGATTTATAGCAATAAACTTTACTTAATTTTTTACTATACGATTTATAGCAATAATCTTTACTTCATTTTATACTACACGATTTATAGCAACAATCATTATTGTATTTTCTACAACACGATTTATAGCAATAAACTTTACTTCATTTTCTACTACACGATATATAGCAATAAACTTTACTTCATTTTCTACTGCACGATTTATAGCAATAAACTTTACTTTATTTCCTACTAAACGATTTACAGCAATAAACTTTACTTTATTTTCTACTACACGATTTATAGCAACAATCAATATTGTATTTTCTACAACACGATTTATAGCTATAAACTTTACTTCATTTTCTACTACACGATATATAGCAATAAACTTTACTTTATTTTCTACAACACGATTTACAGCAATAAACTTTACTACATTTTCTATTACACTATTTACAGCAATAAATTACTTTATTTTCTACTACACGATTTACAGCAATAAACTTCACTTCATTTTCTACTACATGATTTACAGCAATAAACTTTACTTCATTTTCTACTACACGATTTACAGCAATAAACTTTACTTTATTTTCTACTACACGACTTACAGCAATAAACTTCACTACATTTGTATCGTGGACGTGCCCAAAGAAGATCAAAAGTCTCCTCGAGTCTCAGCAAACGAAGGATAAAATCATAAAAGCCAAAACTTGAATTTCAAGTCCCACTCTAGATTCGAAAAAACTCTTTTTTATCGTTGGTATTAAACCTTGGAATGAAATTCTTTCGTAGGATTAGGGCCGCATCCGAAACGATTGCCGTGACATATAAAAGACTTCAAACGTTGGCTTCAAATCAGAACATTTTTATTTTCTGGCAACGTCATTATGAATTCATGGGTCTAGAATGCATTGCCTGGAAATTATGTAAATATAATACATCTACATAAATCAATTCATAAAGGGAATGAACTGCATTTATAAATATTTGTACGAGTAAAAGCTCATCGCAGATTTAATTTTCCCATTGAAGAAGGGAAAATCAAATTTTTAAATACAACACGTAGTTTATCTTAAGGGCTGCTATAAGTTTCCCTTTATATTTCACTTGCGCCGTCGTACTAGCTGAGGTTCAGATGAAGAGATACGTTAATAATAATATAATAATCAAGTTTATATGTATTAATGTTTTTGTGACATTATAGATAATAATAATATAATAACCACGATAATTTTAATTAATGTTTTCGTTATATTAGAGCATGCAAAGCCACTGAAGGCTACGATAGTGTTACAGCGTTGCCCTGGAGCGAAATTTGCATTTTTCATCGTCATCGCCTATTTACTCTTGATTAGCTCGTCGTGAAGCAGGAAAGCAAGTAAATAAAGCCCGCCTACATGCATGCATAATTAGATTGAGGTGTTACTTCATTTGCATGTTTTAAATATATAAAAAAGTTGAAAGACCTGAATAGTTGATATGATTTTATACATATATTTTAAACCTGTGATTTTCATTTACTTCTAAGGAGGAAAAGGCTTCCATTTAAATAATACATTAATATATGTCATCCATAAATTATACCGACGAATTTATTGAAAAAATATCGTAACTCAAGTATTGCTTAGTAATTAACAATATTATTTTTGAATGCAATGAAATTCTTCATAACAATTCTTATTATTCCTTTCGCGTTGTTTTAAGGACCAGATTATTTTCACAGAGCAATCACATTAAATTTAATTCGCCATTCTAATGCGGTTGCTAGAACCAAGCGGAACTGTTTGCGGAAACACTAAATGGATTTGTTTTACTGGACCATACACTATATAAGCCATCATAAACTGCTTCGAATTTTATTCTGTCTAATTTCTGACTATGTAATACACAATAAAAGGCAGAATGTTATAGGCGCTCAACCTTCCTCAAATTGAATCAGTTTATTTGCTTTCAGTCTCATAATTAACTTGAGCGCAGAATTATCTTAGACTTTATGAAAAAGATTAGGAGTTCAGAGCTATAGGAGTTTAGGCAAGTCCTTTAAACATTTACAGGAAGTTAATTGTTTACGTTGGGTCGTTGCAGCGGTGGGATCGCTGGAAGATTGTTTTTATGCCAGGAAGTCAATTTGGTTAGTCTGCCCTGAGCTCACCAAACGCAAAGTTGCTGACGCACGAGTTTACCTGTTCGGAGTTTCTGAACAGGTAAAAAATTAAGATTGAAAGTTGGCTTCAGTTTGTATTTCTAGAAGAACAATTTAAATAAAAAACTATTACGTAGTGTATATATATATTACAGGCTTCGCATCTGTACCACATTTGACGGTAATTCGTCTTGCTTCGGGAACCTGATTCTTGATATTGAAATTTGTTATCAGGTTTTCTGTAACATTTCATCTTCTAAAATCGCCTTCAGTCTTCCAACTGCAGGTATTGCTCGAGTTTCAAGATGTTTGTGCCAGGACTGTGGCAGTCTGGAGGCTCGTATTGTCTATTCTGCATAATACAAGCAATATTTACGGAAATTTTTTCTATTTAGGTAATACTTTTTTTTAATTATTCAATTCGAGATATTGGTTTCGTTCCTGTTTTCAATGTTACGAAAGGTTTAGTATAAGAGCTGAAGTTCAAATTTCAGTAAATGCATCGAAAATTTCAGTAAACAAGGCGTCGAAATTAATCCTGTTGTTGTCGGCCCTCGGCACGTCTTCTGCATTTTCTTGAGAACCGAGATCGTCCGGCCGGCATCCGCAGGATGAAGACAAATATTTCTTAACCTTGCCACAACCTAATTGATCTTTACCATTTATCTTGCTTTTCTTCGCCTTGTTTTGAGTTTATGCTAATGTGCTTATTTCATAATTAGTTTAAAGCACGAGTGAGCAATCTTGTCCAATTTTTTATCGCGTCGTTATATTTATCTCTCGTTATCACTGACATTGCTATATATCACTTATTGCATCAGTACGGCGTGAGCCAATGATAATGAAAATTGTTATAATTTCATTTGATTTAAATATGGTTGATGGATCCATACTTCTGTATTTAATAATAAAACTTGAAAAACGTTTGAATTTTTTTATAGTGTTTGCAACAATCTCTTGTAATTTCTTTGTATGTTTGAGGATATTGCCATGTTAGCAGTTTGGAGCGTTGCTGGCGCTCATTAACGGCTCGGACGACCATGACTTCCTGACGCTGATGCAGAATTCGATATCGACAACCCTCGAGCACGCGAGACGGGGATAGCAACGTCCGTAGACTTTAGAGATCCGATGAGCCACTAAATTCTGATCCCAAGCAAAGATTTGAGATGTAAACTCATGAAACTAAGAGATATATCCATGTTGTTTAGTTGCTTTAATTGGGTGTATTGATTTTGGGCAAATGAAAATAGTAAACTGATAAATAATCTAACTCAGTATCTAATATTTAATACAACAATTTTAATTCTTCAATGTAACACCATGAATCTGAACATTTTTTAACTTCATTCCTCATTTAATACACATTTTCCATTTTTTGTTCTCCGCTGACAAGGCAATAGTTTCAAAAGATGTTCCAAACTCAAGACGTATCGGAGCGGCCGTTCATTTTACACTTCGTTGGTTTGAGCGTCAAAGGCTGGCTTCTCTTTGAAGACCGGACGCCGATGCCGAGACCGGCACAATATTTTCAACAATATATGCTAGCCAACCTTCTTCACAAAGCTGGGTTTTAAGGGGAGCGTCTAGGGTAAAATTTTGGATTTCGGCTTTTCCGGTTTTTAGTCTCATCTTAAAGCTGGCATTCTGACCTATCCAACGGTACCAAAATCATCTCTGTACGTTGATTTATGCGTTCACGTCAGATCATGAAAGGGAGGGGACTGGGGTAGTTCTTTAACAAATAGAATGGGAGGAAATTCGCTGCGAGCACTTTAAATAGAGTGTCTGCTTGAAGTGCACCTTAGTTATCCGCCTGTTCAAGAGAGATATTCAGGTGGGATACTCAAGAAGGTTATTCAGGTGGAATTTTCAAGAGAATAAACTGAATATTATATAGGTGGGATATTCAGATGAAATCTTCAAGAGGGATATTCAGGTGGAATATTCAAGAGGGTTTTTAAAGACGGATATTCAGGTAGGATATTCAAGAGGGATATTCAGGTGGAATATTCAAGAGGGTTTTTAAAGACGGATATTCAGGTAGGATATTCAAGAGGGATATTCAGGTGGGAGATTCAAGAGGGGTTTTTAAAGACGGATATTCAGGTAGGATATTCAAGAGAGATATTCAGGTGGGAGATTCAGATAAAATATTCAAGATGGATATTCAAGTCCGATATTCAGGTGAGATATTTTAGTGGATTATTCAAGTGAGATATTCAAGAGGGATATTCAAGTGTTTAATATTTGATTCAGGCCTTGCTCTATTGACTGATTTCATAATCTAATTGTTTTCATGTATATCTTCTGGACTAATCCTTCGTAAAATTATCAGTTCTATAGTCAACCGGATCATCATCTAGCATGTCAACCGAAGGAAATTCATTCATCCATCGAAATTGATTACCCTCTAGGAATAAAATGTAGAAAACAGATAGTTTTAATGTTCAAATTAGTAATAAATTTAAAACAGTGATTAAGAATACAATCTCGAGGTAGAATAATTATAATAATAATATGAGTTATAATGTTTCATACTCACAGAAAGACACACGAGGATGTTACCCCCACCGCCCGCCAGGATGAAGAGTGTCAGAAATAAGAAGGATAAGTCGTAGTCGGGGACGATCTGTCCTACGGTAACGTTGCTGGACTCGACGTACGGAAAATGTTTTCCGGTCAAAGTGGGCAGGTCAGGTAGCATGGTTCCCAGCGCACCATAGCTTCTGTTGATTGGTTCAGAATAGGTAGAATCGGACCATAAACTCATATTTGAAACCAGTGATGACCTGAGGTCAAGTCCAGGTTGACTGTCGTTTGTGTCAAAATCTTGATGCTGGACTAGGAACCGTGAAGGCCACATCATCGTGTAGGAATGATGTGACAGGTCCAAGGATAATTCTTCATGGTTTTTTGTTGTTAAATGGCCAATATTTCCGAACGCCGATGAAGAAGCGTTAAAATGAAACGGGCTGCTCAGTCTCTTTATGGTGCTGTTCATTGGGTCGAAAGATGGGGGAGTTTTCGCAAGATAATCGCTTCTCACTATTGTATCACAATGGGTTTCGAATGAGCACTGGTTCATTTTGCAGCGTAATATTTTTGTTACCTGATTTACTTCACTAATGTTAGACGATCTCCCTGATGTGTCGTTTTTGACACACGTAAAGCAAAACGTCCTGTTAATAATATTGAAGTAGACGTCGCTGTAATATTGGGACTGGGTCACGTTTTGTGCACTAGGATATGATTGTAGACAATTAACATTAGACGGGTTAAAACAATCACTAGAGATATTATCACACTGCAAGCTCACTGTACAAAGTTCATCGTTCTTATGTTCTATTTCCCCCAAACTGCATGCACCGATAATTTGGGGACTTGTGCCAGAGTTTCTTTCTCTTCCGTCGATCACACGACTATCACTAAACTCGTACGTTGCGTTTGATGGATACTGAAGGTCAAGGTTTGATTCAGGCCGTTCTGAATTGGTCGATTGTGAAATTGACATTTTCTTTTTTGTATATCCACCACCGCTGTCGAATGTCCAGCTTTGTTTGTTAGTCACTCTTGGCATGACAAATTGATATGCCATCATATGGCTTTTGTTCGCTGGGTAACTCTCTACTGTATGAAATGGAGATGTGTCCAATTCCATCACTGATTGGCACTCATAATTTTCTGCACGACATCACTGCAAACAATACGATCACTGTGAAAGGATAATATAGAAGTTCGTTCAGTTCATTTCTTCCGAACCGTTTCACAAAATTCTATTTCTTTTACATCCAGATATACCCCAAAATCCGAATAAAATTATTTGCAAATTCTTTTCCGTTAAGTTGATTTCTGCTGCTCTGCACATGACTGCACATGAAGCAAAAATAATATTTATAAATTATATTTTGGACCAATATTATTGAAATTGATCTATAGAAGTAACTTTTTATTCATGAAGATATATTCGATTATTTTTTCATGAAAGAAAGCTACAACAACAATAATTAATGTAGGAAGTTTTCGCGAAAAATAAAACCAAGGATGAGTTGTCTATTTTCGGCCGGCTTGCTCCAGCTCGGCGTTCATACATGCGTACAGTTTTAGGTCACCGTTTCGTACGCTCCGGTTATCACCATTAAACGATATCTCTAACTGATATCGCGTTTATGTAGCGGCGAATTGTGGCAGCGGTTGAGCATTGCGAAACAAAGCCAATTTTACGCCGACTGTATTAAGCTTCCCTGTTGCATGCAGTTAGCCGCATTGTAAGTGACAAACAGTAGTATTAGTTTTGAAACGCCACTGCCGGAATTCCGTGAAATAGAAACAGGATGCTAGATTACTTCCTACTTCCAGAATCCTTCGCAAAGGGCGTACGTTTTTCAACCATATTATACTGTATATGATAAAATTTATTGAACGCTCAAGCAATGCTAACTAATCATCAAAAAATGCGCAAACCTCTCATTCGGAAGTTTTTTCAAACCTTACATTCATTTGTAATACACGTGATTTAATAGAACCCTACTTCTTTTTCAAAAATTTTAAATAATAATCTTGGTTTCCTTAATTCCTATGATTATATGCACTTAATTCCTATGATTATATGCAGCTTAGACAAACTTATGCCAAATACGTTCCCAATTTATTGAATTATTTTTGCTAAAGTCACGTCTTTTTAAATATTAGCTGATATATTATCTCTGCTTGCTAGATTATTTGAAACGTAATTATTAGCAGTCTTGTAATATTGTCGTGAGTCCAAATGTCCAATTCACGCACATGAAATCATTAAAATGATTTTTCTAATTTTTATCGAAAATTATAATCATTCATGAATTCAATGAAGAAAATGGTATTCTCCCTAAGTTTCGAAAACATTTCTACGCATATTCTTCTCACACTCATGTCTTTGTACTTGAACTTCAATACAAACTTATGCGCAATGAAAATATCTCCTAAAAAATTAAAAATTACATCAACCTTTTCACCGGTCAACGACCTTTTACCTCGAGATTTACTTTTCATCCTTAAATTATTTGACTTGATAACCAAAGCGTCCGACACCGTTGATAAACGATGTCGGGACAACGTCTTGCCGAGAGACAATATTTTGCCGGAGTTTTACCCCAAGCGACGTTATTGCAATCTGCGAATGTCGGTCATTTGGCCTCGAGCAGACTTTATTGTCTCGCTATTCCGACGTCATCTTTTGTCTCTGTGGAAGAACTTATTAAGTTACAATGTATTTTTTTTATCGAGTAACCTTCTGCTTGTGGAATAAAGAAATTTTTCTTAGTTTTTGGTAATCTGTTTTCTGCGCAGAAAGCAGGCATAAAAGTTTAAGTTCATCGGATGTAATACTATAACAACTTCTATATTTCATCCATCGGTAATTGAGTTTCATCAACAGAAAGTTACTAAAAGTTACCTACTTCAATTGTTATTAAAAATTCTAACGTGTATTTTCCACATTCCAGTCACCTTTATTGCCTACAAAAAGTTTACCGCTTTCTCGATGAGGCGAACACATTTGTTCGCGCCAGGATGTTCCGGTGTGAACGATCGCCTCGCATTTCTCGTCTAGGCCTAAAATTCTCGTTACATCTCTGAAGTTTCGTAGCAAATTTCCACCCAGGCGCATAAAGTGAACAAAGCGGTTCCACACATGCATTATTTCCGTCGAATGTTCCAGGCATCCAGTAAAAAATTTACTTTTATAATTGGTACGAATTAAATTCTATTGAGTCGACCGAGAAAATTTGCATGTTTTCTGCCTTTATCGGCCTCGGAAAGGCATCGGAAAGTTTTCGCTCTATTCGTTACATCGATACAATTGTCGTTTTTCGATTTTTTTTTTTCCATTTCAACAATGAAGGTGCTTTTTTTCAAGCTGCAAACTTCATGAAATGTGAAATCTTTCATTTTCTTGAATGAGAATCCCACATTTGAATGAAAACGTTCGTTAGAAAATTGAAATTGAATAAAAAATTTACCTAACTTCTTAATTTTTTACCATTTAGTCAATCGGACATTGTAACAAAGCTCTAGTGTAGCTCTCATAGTCAAACAGATCCCGTTAATTCTCACTGAATAAAAAATATAACTTCAAAATAAATACAACATTCTCATAACAGAAAATACCTATTAGAATTGAAAGCTGTTTATTCGTGATCACTTCGCTAATAATGTTCAGTTGTACAACAGTTTCTAATATGCTTGCAGTTCTGGTAAACCTACTGGGCGGCTTTACAACTACCAATTTCCATACGAATTTAATTGTCATGGCTATAGTGCATCTGTTCGCATCAAAGGAGCTGTTTCGTTCAGACCCGTTGCCTGTTAATTGCACTAAATATATTAACTCAACGTACCACTCAGGCGGCTTCAGATCTTAATGATGAACCATGTCGTCTCTACAACTGAACTCTTCACATTATTCAGATAAGTTCCTTGTCAAGCTAACTATTTGTCTAGCGAACTGCTTGCTATTAAACTGTCCTCTGTCTAGTGAACGTTTCATTCTTGTCTAGTGAACTGTTTCCTCTCTAGTGGACTGATTCCTCTCTAGTGACTGAACCTGTTTAGAGTCCTGTTCCTGTTCAGTTCAATTTCTTTGCACGAATTTATCATTGAATTTGTCGTATATACGTTAACTTTACCGACAAATAACCCGATATTCGATTATGGTGAACCCATCCCAAAAGCGTCAGTGAAACATAATATAATATACGGCTGTCAGCTTCATCGATTCAGAAACCTGTTACCAGATTCCCGATTTCCTGCTCGACTTTGAACAATTTGATGAGCGATTTTCCTTTGAACTTTTCACGCCGATCTCCTCCTGTCCAGTTACCGGTCCGATAATGCCGGACTCGGAGGTCGTAAGTCTGACAAGGATAAAATTCGTGCGCCGTAATTTGAGCTCAAGCGAAGTTTATGCGCAGCTTCGCCCTAAGCTTCGCATAGGAAGCAGGATGCGTGACTAACAGCGTTTGTGCGATGATGTAAATCGCAATATAATATCCGGAGTTTATTTTTTGGGAGCTGATCACAGCAAATGCTGCATTTCATTTTTAAAAATTCCTGCCGTGGTCTGAAATTCTACAAAAATTAACGCGAAATGCCAGTTGAGTGCAAAAATTCATTGATGGATTATCGACGCATTTCAAAGTTTGGGTCATAATTTCAGAACATGTGATGATTAGTGCACAAATATTCGCCTCGAACATTTTCTCACATTGAATTTAAATCACTGTCTTAAATCTTCATATTCTCCCACAGAGCGTAATAATAAAACTAGCAAACACAATAAATACATTTATCGGACGTAATTCCTCGTATTCATGTCAAATCCGTTCTCAGTGGCATGTCAATAGTTCATTTGACAGCAAAACTCCCCTCGCCAGCTACCCGACTGCAATTTTCGTACATCATACAGAGATTCCATGTCTATTTTACCCTCCAGATTATGGATATTTCCTAACACAGTCGCACAAATTGCATTCCCAGTGCAGCTCGTATGTCGGTTTGAAAATTCCTCAGGTAAGCTCGGGCTTGCAAATAATCTTTACCATCGAGCTCGACTGGAACCATGCCCTCGGCCTGCGCGCTTCCGCCTGGAAAACTAGAATTTACAGTGAGGAAGTAAGATTTACCGCGGTAAACCTTGCTATAGGAAATTAAGAATTACAGTAAAAATATAAGGAGTTACCCAGGTGAAGCAAGGTATAAGAAAATATAATAGTTACCAATAAAAAAGTAATAGTAGCATCGGTGAGCCATGTCATGGAGGGAAACTACCGCAAAGAAACATTGAAAATAATTTGCAATCACTTTTCAAACTGCACCTAAGCCGTGCAAACAGAAACCACAATTTGAAATTTCTCAGAAACGGCCCTGTTGGGCTGTGTTATTCAGATAATTTTGGGACCATTTTCTTAGTGTCCACAGAGCTTGCCCACGGCGCCCGACGTTGAAGCATTTACCATGCAAACCACCGGCATTATCACGACAAACACGCCCAAGTGTGTACACTGAAGCAAGCCAACACAGGATTCCTCGTAGCGACACTACAGTGCACTCTTTTTGCGGTCCAGTTCGTTGTTCTTTGATTAGCATAAACGCTGTGAGCGCTGCACCGGTGCTTGCGACGACTGCGATCGCGAGGGGAAACGACATCTTCGCACACGACAATCCTGTCGAGCTCTCCTCATCGTCCTACTTTATTGGACAGCTGCGAATGGCAGGCTTTAGTTTTTGCACTCCATTCGATATTATTTGTTAGCGAATTCGAAGAAGAGGTATATGCATTCGTT